ATGAAGACTGACTAGGAAGGAGAGACCGGCTACTTCTAAATATTTACTCACTGAAAATTTTATGAACAGCAGTGGAACACTGTCAGCACCAGAATATTGAATATTGAAACATAATGAAGCAAACCAGATATAGTGCCAGAATACGAGCCCCTCAGGTAGGAAGGCACTCAAAATTCCACTGGAGAAGAGCTGCTCCTCAAAGTCAAGTTTATCGTGAGGTGGCGAAAGGAGTACAGCCTTTGGGACCTTCATTTGTTGATGGGGCACAACTCAAAATGAGGAGAAACAGCTATAAACATCCATTAATAATTAGAACATAGAATGTACAAAGTATAAATCTAGGCAAATTGGAAATCATCAAAAATGAAATGGAACATATAAACATCAATATCATAAGCATTACTGAGCTGAAAGGGACTGGTATTGGCCATATTGAATCTGACAATCACATGGTTTACTATGCTGGAAATGACAAATTGAAGAGGAATGGTGTTGCATTCATCATCAAAAAGAACCTATCAAGATCATCTTGAAATACAATGCTGTCTGTGATAGGGTAATATCCATATACCTATAAGGAAGACGAGTACTACTACTATTATTCAAATTTATACACCAACCACTAAAGCCAGTGAGGATGAAACTGAAGAATTCTACTCATTTCTTCAGTCCAAAATTGAGCAAACATGAAATCACAATGTACTGATAATTACTGTTGATAAGACTGCAAATGTTAGAAACAAAGAGGAAGGATCAGTTACTGGAAAATACGGCCTTGGTGATAGAAATGATGCTGGAGATTGTATGATAGAGTTCGCAAGGACAATGACTTCTTCATTGCAAATACCTTTTTAAAATAACATATAAGATGACTATATACATGAACCTCACCAGATAGAATACAAAGAAATCAAATTGACTATTGTTGTTGTTGTTGTTAAGTGCCGTCGAGTCGGTTCCGACCCATAGCGACCCTGTACAGGGTTTCCGAGGGTGTAAATCCTTACGGGAGTAGAAAGCCTCATCTTTCTCCCGCGGAGCGGCTGGTAGTTTCGAACCGCTGACCTTAAGGTTCGCAGCCCGATTCGTAACCACTACGGACTATATCTGTGGTAAAAGATGGTGGGGAAGCGCCAATCATCAACCAAAACAAAGTCAGGTCAGACTGTGGAACAGACCATCAATTACTCATATGCAAGTTCAGACTGAAGTTGAAGAAAATTATAACAAGTCCAAGGAAGCTAAAATATGACCTTAAACATATCCCCCCTGAATTAAGAGATCACCTCAAAAACAATTTTGATGCATTATGACACTAAGGACCGAAGACCAGAATTGTGGGATGACATCAAAATCATCATACAGGAAGAATGCAAAAGGTCATTAAGAAGACAAAAATGTATGCCAGAAGAGACTCTGAAACTTGCTCTCCAGTATAGAGATGCTAAAGCAAATTGGTAGAAATGAGGAGGTAGAAGAGCTGAGCAGAAAGTTTCAAAGGTCAGCTTGAGAAGACAGAATCAAATATTATAATGAAATGTGCAAAGACCTGGAGTTAGAAAACCAAAAGGGAACACACTCAGCATTTCTTAAGCTGAGGGAACTGAAAACATTCAAGTCTGGACTTGAAATATTGAAGGATTCTATGCGGAAAATACTGAATGATGCAGAAAGCATCAAAAGAAGATGGAAGGCATACAGTCACTGTACCAAGAAGAAATGGTCGATGTTCAACCATTTCAAGAAGTAGCATATGATCAAGAGCCAGTGATATACCAGAGGGTGTGGAGGAAGGTAGAATCTCCACTGAGTAGTATCCAATCTGTCTAGGCGGGGCTGATGAAATGAAATGCGGATAGGTCTCTTGTGATACAATAGTGAATAATTGTTATCAGGACTGATTGTGAGGGTTGGAAATGTAAAGGTAGATGTTTTGTAGCTAGGAGGGAAGTGAGTAACTTTTCAGTCTAGGAGCAGAGGTCCCTGGGACCATCAAGGGAGAAGAGTGGAGAGCGGGACCCTACCCAGAGAAGCAGTGGGGGGTGCCTGAGATAGAGGCAGAGACAATGACGAGGAGAGATGGAACAGCTGGGGCCTTTAGACACATAGAGGGAGAGGGGCTGTGTGCTGACAATCAGGGGGCAGGCTTGCAGAGTATACATTTTGGTTGGTTGATGATGCATGTAGGGGATTGTAACCATGCAATGAAACGATATATGATAGGATGAATGTAAAACTAATGTCTTCCCATGTAAACTATCACATAATTCAATATAAAACATTAAAAAAAAAAAAAAAAGCCAGTGATATTGAAAGATGAAGTCCAAGTTGCACTGAAGGCATTGGCAAAGAACAAAGAAAGCACCAGGAACTGGTGCAACATAAATTGAAGTCTTTCAACAAACTGATGCAGCACTCATTCATCTATGCAAGGAAATGTGGAAGACAACTAACTGGCCAACTGACTGGAAGAGATCAATATGTTTGCCTATCCAAAGAGGTGACTCAGTGGAATACAGAAATCATAGGACAGTATCATTAATATTTCATGCAAATAAAGTCTTTCGCTGTACCCATACATTGACAGAGAACTTCCAGAGGTTCAAGCTGGATTCAGAAGAGGATGTGGAATAAGGGATATTATTGCTGACATCAGATGGATCTTTGCTGAAAGCAGAGAATACCAGAAAGATGTTTACCTGTGCTTTATTGACTATGCAAAGGCTTTCGATTGTGTGGATCATAACAAGCTATAGAGAACATTGTGAAGAAAGAGTATTCTGGAACACTTAACTGTGCCCATGAGGAAGCTGTACACAGGACCAAGAGGCAGTTGTTCAAACAGAACAAAGGCATACTGAATGGCTTAAAATTATGAAAGATGTGCACCAGGGTTGCATTCTTTCCCCACACTTATCCAATCTGCATGCTGAGCAAGTAATTAGATAAGATGGATTATATGAAGAAAAACGTAGCACTGGGATTGGGGGAAGAGTAATGAACAACCTGCGACATGCAGATGATACAACCTTGCTTGCTGAAAATTAAGAGGACTTAATATACTTCCTGATGACAATGAAAGACCACAGCCTTCAGTATCGGTTGTATCTCAATGGAGAAAAAAATTGAAGTTGCCAAAGACTTCCTTTCACTCTGATCAACCATCAACACTCATGGAAGCAGCAGTCGAGAAATCAAGCATTAGACAAATTTGCACAAGATGTGTTTAAAGTGTTGAAGAGCAAAGATGTCAGTTTGAGGACTAAGGTGCACCTGATCCAAGTCATGGTATTTACAATAACTTCATATGTGTACTAAAGTTGTACGTGAATAAGGAAGACCATAAAAGAATTGATGCATTTGAATTATGATGTTGGAGGCGAATATTAAAAGTACCATGGACTGCCAAAAGAAAACACAAATCTGTACTGGAAGAAGTACAGCAAGAATGCTCCTTAGAAGCCATCTCTCATACTTTGGATATATTATCCGGAGGGTCCAGTCCCTAGAGAAGGATATCATATTTGGTAAAATGGAGGGTCGGAGAAAAAGAACATACAATGAGGTTTATTAGTACAGTGGCGGCAGCAATGGGCTTTGGCTTAGCAACGATTGTGAGATTGCCAAGGAACAGGGCAGTGTTTTGTTCTGTTGTGCTTAGGGTTGCTGTGAGTCAGTGCTGATTTGATGGCACCTAACAACAACAATAAAACACACTGTATTTTCAGTTCAAAGTACTTAGAACATTTCTTAATGAATAACTGTTTAAAATATCCCTCATGGTGAGGCATTTTTAGAGAAGGCCAAAAACTACTTATTGTTATACTATATGCCTAGATGGGAGTGTGGTGGCTTCATACGTAAAGCTGTTGTTGGTGCTATGTGCCATGGAGTCAGTTCCGATTCATAGCAACCCTGTACAGGTTTCCGAGGCTATAAATCATTACTTGGACTATAAACCAAAAAAACCACAAGGTCCACGGTCTGAGGCCATTGGCAGCTCTGCAGAACAAAGATGAGCTTTCTGCTCCTTAGAAGATTTAAAGCCTCCGAAACCCTGTACAGGAGGATCGCTATAAGTTGTAGTCTATTCCAAGGTACTTAATAGCAAATGCCTGGTCCAGTAAGTGACAGGTACAGGTCGCAAACGGCCATGCTGGTGGCACTTAGGTTACGCATGGCTGACCCTTGAGAACTGTTCATGGAACAGGAGCGTGCATTACCATGAATCAGAGAGCAAGTCCTCAGGGTTAGGACCAGGACAAGACAGGCACTTCCCAACCTGTTAACATTCAGGCCTCATCGCCTCCATAGTCTCAAAAAGTGCTACTTTTGGCAAGTGATGTTGCTGGGACGTGGTTTCCTTGGTTTCTAGGATTCTGTGCACCTTCTGGTTAGCCGAATAAACCTTTCCCTCTCTGGATGATTATAGTTCAGTATAGGCTTTGGCATCCCCTACCTTTCCTGGTAGCATATTGGTTACGAATCGGGCTGTTAATTGAAAGGTCAGCAGTTCGAAACTACCACCTGTTCCGCGGGAGAAAGACGAGGCTTTCTGCTTCCGTAATGATTTACAGCCTCGGAAACCCTGTACAGACTCGCTATGAGTCAGAACCGACTCTACGGTACATAACAACAACAACAACCTTTCCTGGGAATGTGACATGGGTCCCTCAAACAAAATTGTCTGGAGAAGAAACGGGCAGAACTCAAATTTCTGGTTTGCATGATGGATGAACACTCTGTAGCCCAGTAGTATCAAGAAGCAGTAACCACACAGATGCTTCCTTCCCTCCCTCCTCTGCACCTGCACGAACCCTCGACTCACACCCCGCCCCGTGTTCTTCCCCACCTCCCCGTCCCCCGGGTTGGTCGCAGGGCTATTCAGAGACCACATCCACTATGGAGAGTCTGGCACTCCAGCTGCAGATAACTTTAGCAAGGTTGAGGACTTACTCTCCCCTTCGGCTTCACACCCACCCCTATCCGAGCCCTGTCACCTTGGCCGCTTGACCCATGGCTCTTCCTGCGTCTGTAGCGGTCGAGTCGCCACGCCTCCTGGCAACCAATCCGTGCAGAGCAAGGACTCTCCAACTCCCTGTAGCCACTGTGCTAGCGCGCCGCAACCAATCACCACGTAGCATCTTCGTTGTAGCCCCGCCCTCCTTGAAGGGATGCGGGAACAGTGTTTGCAAAGTGGCTTCTAATTGGTAAAGCCGCGAAAAACTACGGAGTTCAATTACTGGAGATGGGACCGGAAACACGTTATGCCTTTTAGTGAGGAGCAGAGCCTCTTCCGGTCTTGTTTGGACATCCTCGGAGAGTGTGTTGGGATTAACGGATTCCTTCTGCAACTAAATGCTTGAGCCGTGTATTTGTTGTTGTTGTTGTTAAGTGCCGTTGAGTCGGTTCCGACCCATAGCGACCCTGTACAGGGTTTCCGAGGGAGTAAATCTTTACGGGAGTAGAAAGCCTCATCTTTCTCCCGCGGAGCGGCTGCTAGTTTCGAACCACTGACCTTAAGGTTCGCAGCCCGATTCGTAACCACTACGCTACCAGAGCCGTGTATTAAAGAACCTTATTTTAACGTCTCCCAATTAGTGAGGTTGGTCCAGGATCGGGCAGTGTTTAACAACAACAACAAACCTTCAGAATGGATGAAATGGCACCTAACAACAATTGTGACCGTCTCCCTGAGAACAAGCATGAGTAAGAACCAGTTCCTAACAACTACAGCAAACACTGGAACATTAACTTTTTTTTTTTTTTTTTGAAACATTCACTCTTTTAGAGACCCATTTGTAGTAGGGGGGACTTAAAAAAAAAAGTTAGTGGAAAAATTCCATTATCTTTCTCTTCCATTTCGCATGAACTTTTTAAAGCCCCCTCGTAGATTTTCTCATTTCATCCACTCTGAAGGTTTGTTGTTGTTAAGTGTCTTCAAGTCGATTCTGACCCATAGCGACCCTGTATAGGGTTTCCAAGGAGCAGCTGGTGAGCTTAAACTGCCTACCTTGTATGGGTTATTTGCCCGAGATCACATGGCTTATAAATGCACATCTGGGTTATCAACGTAGCATGCCTGATCCCAAAGCCTATGCCCTAGTGTGACATTGTGGGCTAAAGCACTGGACACAAGGTCGGTTTAAACCACAAGGTCAACGGTTCAAACTCAACAGCCGCTTCGTGGAAACCCTATACAGGGTGGCTATGTGTCTGCACCGACTCCATGGCACTTAACAACAATACATGTGCTACTCCTTGGAATTGCTGGTCAATGAAGAGTTCGGAAATACATAATGTTAGATAAGGTATCAACCAGAAACAAACATTTATTTGCGTTTAAACTTATATCCTTGGATCAAGAAAATTCTCAACCTTGTTCCCATTGCATAATTGTTGATTGTGTTCCCTACCCCTACTATCTGGAATTGCACTGTAGGATAAGCACTGAACTGCTAACTTCAAGGTGGGTGGTTCAAACCTACCAGCCACTACTTAGAATATATACAATATCACTATATACAGTTGTCACTATGAGTTGGAACTGACTGGACAGCACTTAACACAATCAGATTACCTTTTAGATACAATTTATTAAAAATGAAGGTTTGGGCTGATGTATCTCCAAGGATCTTTTTCTTTATAATTTGTGACATCTTAGAGAATACTGGCAAGTTATCATGACAAAGATAATAGTTGACTTTTTTTGTTTTTATTAAGATGCATTCAACTTACAGAAGACTTTTAGAGTAATCAAGTAGTGAAACTAACTTCACTGGTATTGCTTTTTGTCCAGAAAACAATACATTCTCTCCTGTGACATTACATTATAGTGCCTTCTGAGTGTTAACAAAGTATTATTTTCATTTCAGTTTAAGATGATAACCTAATTTCCTAAAAATTGGTAATTTGTTGTGATGAGTTTTGGCAAGCTAGGGTCCTGTATTCACTTATCCCAAACCCCTCATTTGCCAATATTTGATAATACTGTTCCTAAGAGTGCCTAGTAAGGAGCTCTGGTAGCGTAGTGGTTACGAATTGGGCTGCTAATCTCATGGTCAGCAGTTTGAAACTACCAGCTGTTCCGTGGGAGAAAGACGAGGCATTCTGCTTCCATAAAGATTTACAGCCTCGGAAACGGGTCACTATGAGTCAGAACCGACTCCATGGTACTTAACAATAAAGAGTGTCAAGTACTGAGGGTTATCTTAGATAAATTCATATATAGTTTCTTCAGTTGTTCTATAAATGAGCTAGCTCTTTACAATCCTGATTGTGCTGTGAACATACTTGGCTTGTCTACATGTCAAAGTGTAGGAACCAGAACTGAACAGAAAATTCTAACAAGTTCATCGTGTAATTTCATGAAGTTCTATAGTGGGCAGAATAATGGTCTTCCAAAACAAAAAACAAAAAATCATAGCATCAGGATTGGAGGAAGACTTACTAACTACCTGTGATATACAGATGATACTACCTTGCTTGCTGAAAGTGAAGAGGACTTAAAACATTTACTGATGAAGATCACAGACCACAGCCTTTGGTATGGGTTGTACCTTAGTGAAAAGAAAACAAAAATTCTTACCCTGGACCAATAAACAACATTCCTATAAATGGAGAAAAGATTGAAGTTGTCAAAAACTTCCTTTTGCTCAGATCAACCATGAACACTCATGGAAGAAGCAGTAAATAAATCATATGACATATTGTATTAGGCTGCACAAGTCCTCTTTAAAGCGTTGAAGAGGAAAGATGCCAGTTTGATGACTAAGGTACACCTGAACCAAGCCATGGTATTTTCAATACCTCATATGCATGTGAAAATTGGACGGTGAATAAGGAAGACCATAAAAGAATTGACGCATTTGAGTTATGATGCTGGAGGAGAACATTAAAAGTACCATGGAATGCCTAAAGATCTGTGTTGGAAGTACAGCCCGAATGCTCCTTGGAAGCCAGGATGGCCAGACTTTATGTCTCATACTCCAGCCATATTATCAGAAGGGACCAGTCACTGGAGAAGGGTAACATGGTTAGTGAAGTGGGGGGTCAAAGAAAAAGAAGACCCCCAACAAAATAGATTAGTACAATGGTAACAGCAATTGAATCAGGAATAGCAACAATTATGAGGTTTGTGTGGGACAGGGCAGTGTTTTGTTCTGTTGCACATAAGATTGTTACTAGTGGGTATGGACTCATTGGCACCTAACAACAACAAAGACGCCCTTGTGCTAATCCCAAAAGTCTCTGAATATGTTACTTTCTATGGGACAAGAGGCGTTGCAGGTGTTATTAAATTAAGAATTTTGAAATAGGAAGAGTAGTGTGAGTTATCCACGTGGGCCCAATGTAATTATTCAGTAGAAGAAGGAAGCAAAGTGAAGGTTTGAAGGTGCTATGCTTTTGACTTTGAAGCTGATGGAAGGGGCCACAGGCAAGGAAGGCCTTTAGAAGCTGGAAATGGTAAAGTAATGGATTCTCCCCTAGAGCCTCCAGAAAGAATGTAACCCTGCTGACACCTTGATTTTTTTGCCCAATAAAAATCCAATTTGCCTTCATGATATCCAGAATCCCATCTGCATTTCTCAGTTTATAGTTCCATCCATTTCAAAATTAACGAGGTATCATCTCCAAATCTTTGACTCTCATTTTCCAGTTTTACTTTCCTCTCTCCTTTATTACATTGGAACCACGTGAATTATCTAGGATAGTCTGCCCATCCCAAGTCTCCTCTGACATGTAACATATTTACAGCATTTAGGGATTCAAACATGGACATCTTTGGGGGACCACTATTCTGTCTACCACATGCAGTATGGTTAAAGCCAGTCAATAAGGAAGAAATGGAAGGAAATGAAGTAGGAGACACAGCTATGGACTGATTACATAGGATCCTTTAAGGATTTTGAATTTTATTCTGAATGATAGAAAGTCTTGGAGAATTACCAGCAGGAGTATGACATCATGGTTTATATTTTAAGGAGTCCTGGTATGGAGCTGTAGGATAAGCATTTAATTGCAAGGTCTGTTTGAACCACAAGATTGGCAGTTCAAAATCACCAACTGTTCCTCAAAAACACTACACAGTCGCTATGAGTTGGAATTGACTGGGATGGCATTTAACAAAAACAATAATGACCATGTTGGGTGCTACATGGAAAATGGACTATAGTGGACATAGAAAGGTCAGGTAAGGCTATTATTGAAGTACAAGGTTAAGTAAAAAAGTATTGGTACAAAATCATAGAATTGTTTATTTAAAATACTAAAATGTGAAGCTTTTTTTTTTTTTTTTTTACATATTCTCTATCTACGTTTCTGAAGGCAGTATTACTATCTCTCTAATGTTCCCCATGCCCCCAACGAATTCTGTGCTGTTTGATTTACATCACATTAAAACAGCATTTTTGGCATCCTTGAAGGACTTAATTGTGTTTCTTTTAAATGTTCTATGAGTTTGGGGAATAAAAAGCCTAAAAGGGTAAGATCAGGGCTCTGGGGTGGATGGGGCAAGATTGACCTATGAAATTTTTGTAGGATAGCCTTTGCTACCTTAAAATAATGAGCAGATGCATTGTCATGATGGGAAAAAAATTACCTTGGTGCAATTCTTCTGGTGTTTTTCTCAACTTTGCAGTTTTCATTCCTAATAAGCCCACATGATTGTCCTGTGTCCTTTGAGAAAATATGTCAAGATTTTCCCTTTGGAGTCCCCCAAAACAGTTGCCATAACTTTCTGAGCCCATCTCTCTGCCTTGAATTTAACTGGCTCAACGGATTGGACCTTTTTTGAAGGCACCCTAATGACAAGTGTATTACTGAGAGAACTTGTCTGCAGCCATCCATTGCTCCCAGAGACATGTTTAAACACTTTTTGTTTGGAATTATCTCATGCATGTTCAACTGGAACCCTGTTGGTAATATTTCTGACTTGCCCTCATTCTCTAGGCAAAAGATAGGAGCTTGGATTAAGGTGGTGGAGTGTTTGTTGTTCTTTAGTGCTGTCAAGTTGGTTTGGGCTAATAGCAACCTTGTGTACAGGGTTTCCAAGGACCAGCTGGGGGAGTTGAATTGCCTACCTTGTAGTTCAACCCAATCTTGTGGTCCAGTACTTGTCCTATAGCACACCAGGACTCCAGGG